GATACATTCTCGGAAACCCAAGGAGGGATCACTATGAGTTGAATCAACTCGAGGACAGTGAGTTTGTTTTTTGTTTAGTGATGACAGGAAAGCAGATTTCAGCCTGACACCATCATTTCATGAGAGTACACTGCTAGATGGGCTCCTAAAGTAAACAAACAAAACTCACTGATTTCTGGGTTGTTTAATGAGCATTTATTAAAATATTTCCTAAGAGCTGGAATTCTTGAAAAGCTAGCTATTAAACCCAACATCTCCATTGCTCCAGTGAAGTAATTAAGTGGACATCTGAGCTAAAAGAGAAAATAAACCTAAAAAATTCACCTAAAAAAGCAAACAAAATAAATACACACACTTCTGATCCTCTAGGCCCTTGGTAGTATCACACTCACCGATAGAAGTCTTGTGGAAATAAGACTGCAAAAAACAAAACTGTACTCCCTAGGGTTTTCAATGGCTGATTTTGTTTCAGAAGTTCATTGCACAGATTGCCAGGCCTTTCTTCCAAAGTGCCTCTGAGTGGATTCAAATACCCAACCTTTTCAGTTAGTATCAGTTTGTGACATCATTGATGCCAAATAAGACCGTGGGTCTAACTAAACTCACAAGAGTGATGATGAAAAAAGAAGCCCCTTTCTTCATGCTCCTTTGGAGTATCTGCACCCCAAAGTTTGAGCTCAAGAGCTTCTTGGGATTTTACCAAAGTACTCAGTAAATTTTTTGTTCAAAGAAATATGGTAATCAGAGTAGGAAGGCATGTGTCCCAAACAGGGCGAACACCCCTGAAGCCCATTACCTTATTCTGCTCCCACACATAGTGTATCCTGAGGGTGTCCATAGCTCTGATCATGGCTTGCATGGCGGTGAATATGTTTTGGTAAATCAGCTTTGTGAAACCCTTTCTGTCTTCATCACTGTAACCAGATCCATGGATAATTCTCATTTGCTTGATAAAGGTACTTTTTCCACTTTCGCCAGTTCCTATATGGAAAAAAAACAAGTGAGAAGCACAGTCAGCAGGTTTCAAAAGGAAAACACCGAGAAAGAAAGGACCTCCTGGCTGTGCTGGCTCCATAGCACGAGTGACAGAGGGATGGCAGAGACTTACAAAGGGCTGTCAAATGCTTCTGAACTTTTAGGCTGCAAAGTGGGACCATTCTAAGTCCTGGGCAAGACAGGTCATTACCCTGGATCCTGCACTTTAGGAGGCCTTGAATACCACACACACATAATTTATTAACAACACATGAGTGTCTCTGTTGCTTGGGGTAATCCTAAGCATCAGGTCTTGTGACTAAAACTGTTTGTTGTTATTGTTAGGTGCTATCAAGTTGACCCACAATTCACAACAACCTCATGCACTACAGATCTAACTACCACCCAATCCATGATCACTTAGGGATTGGGCTATTGTGATCCACAGGGTTTTCATGTTTGGAAGGAGAGTGACAGGCCTTTCTTCATAGTCTACCTTAGTGTGGAACCTCAGCCTCCTAATAACACACAAGCCTCCACTGACTGATGGGTACTCTTGAGGGACACTGGCTGGGACTCAGACCTTGGGCTCCCACATGGAAGGTGAGAATTGCTATCACACCAATGAACGACCCTAGGAAATGCCT